TCCTCCATAAAATGTGCTGCACACATCTGAATATTTGGGTTGAACTGTTCTGGAACAGTGTTGTAAATATAACTTAACCACTGATTTCTAGTCGTGTCCTCTTTTGGAAGGCCAAACAAAGTAGTTTCGCTTTCAACAACGAAACACACAGCGACTCCACAACATGGCAGCGGCGGCAACAGCGAGAATAAAAGTTACGCCTTCTTTCTTTGCGTGAACATTTGGGTGGCGTTATGCAAATCTTCCCACATCGTGACGTAGATATGTGGGGGCGTGTTAGAACGAGCCGTTTTAGGTAGGCGTGGCTGACTCTTAACTTTTATAAAGAATATCTCTTTGGATTTGAGACTTTAGTCTTTGCAACTTTACAGATCTTCTTTATGCGCCAAGAGCTTGTAACACTCCAAAGAGAAAGGAAAAATTGAAATCGCATCATATGACCCCTTTAACATTAAATCGTCCTCCTCCCATTTTCACCTCAATATTATGGGGAAGCTGTGCCTCCCCTGCCTCCCCCGACCACTGCAAATTACTGGTATTTGCGCCATTATTTAACGCCCAAAAAAGCATGTCTTAAAGCGCTGCTCTTAGATTGCGCTGGTCATTATGGAAATGATCTGGCTGCGTCTGTGTTCTTTAATATGCACATTGTCAGTAAATCACCCGCAGAATTTCCCCCTCTCATCGGTGCTTTTATGGAATGTGCTCTAAACACTAATTTGCCCTGTTTAGTAAATCTGGCCCTTATTTTGATTGTGTTGACTGACAATACTAAAGTAAAACTTAAATTCTGGCAATATTGTCGACTTGATTGCACAGATACTATCTGAATGGAACTGAGCTGGATGATGACATCACTGAATCAATAATGAACTGTCTTTAACTGAAAATTGAGTGTTTACTATCGTCGTCTTGCATTATTGACACAAGTTTCCTATTTTATACTGTAAAGCTGCTTTGACACAATCTGTATTGTATAAAGCGCTATATAAATAAAGGTGTCTTAAAGCTATATATATATATATATATATATATATATACTATATTTAATATTAAATATTTATTTAATATTGCATTTAAAGTTGAAATGTTTTACATTTTAAATATACTAAACTGCAACTTAATCATCACAAATGTGTAATTACAAACACATGTAAATACATGACACACAAGACATGAAAGTTTATTTTAATTTACCGTAAATGCTTGTAAGTACATTTAACAGTATACTTTAAGCATAAGACAGAAGTAAATATGAAATTACATATAAAGATGTAGTCCAGTTTAAACTGAGTCAAAAAAGTACTTTTAAGTTAATCTATTTGCAAATGATGTATATGAAAAGTATATTTTTTATCATTTTAAATAACATGCAATTCAGTGTCCAAAAACACTACATTCAGTTCACACTAAAGTATATTATTTTAGAGTATAGTATTTCCATAATAAGTACACTTTTTAAACAAAGAGACAAGGAATGCTCGCACGTTTTCTTAATTAACGATAGCTGCTAATGTGGCATCCATGAATTCCATAAAACTCTAGGATTTCGAGTGCCTGCAAACATCTGCAAGACAGCAGCTGGTTAATTTCTTATTCCAGTGATTCTTTGCTCAATATGCTGCCTGCTTTTTCATTTGAGACTTGTGTTTCAGGTTTCTGTGACAGCGTTTCTTTGTTACATAACCAGTGCTTTTCCTGCAGGATCCAACAGGACTGGCTTTCTTAGTGCTCTCAAAGACAGCCCTGCTAGATATCCTTTCACTAAAGTGGGTGTGTGGGAAGAGGCTGTGCAATAGCAGTCTATTTCTGGGTTTCACACCTCTGGAACACAATTGCAGAAAAGCAGCCCACACTGACTTTCTCTACATCTTCATTGCTATGTGTCTGTACCCCTCTCTTTTCAATGGAAAGAAATATGTTATTAAATACGGTCTGTGGGAAGTCTTTGCATATCTGAGATTGGCTTGCGAAGGAAAGATCTTCTGTCTGACTGCACAAATATGCAGAAGAGTGATTTGTATTAGGGACGTCTCGCTGTTGTGTTCATTAGTGAGACCGGCTTGCTGCTCACGGTCAATTATTAGCTTGTCATGCATCATTTATTGCTTCATGATAGACTTACTCCCATAAGCAAGCAAGTCAACACATGCTAGTGCCAGCAAAAACCTGCTTTGCAAGGTACAAACTGCAAATTGTTTTCTTAATCAGTATTTTAGTTCAAATATCTTTTATAAATGTAGATATGCAGCAAAATTGCATAAAATCATTTATTATAATTTACTGTAAATGCTTGCAAGTATACATTTAACAGTATACTTTAAGCGTAAGACAGAAATTACATATAAAGATGTAGTTAAGTCCAATTTAAGTGAGTCAAAAAAGGACTTTTAAGTTCATATATTTGCAAATGATATATGAAAAGTATATTTTAATTATATAATTTTATTTTTGAATAAAATTGCATAAAATCGTATAACGTTTTTTCGGAAATATATATTTATAATTAAATATTTTTTTCTTGTTTTCAGCATAAACCTTACATAATTCAATTTAAATTTTATGCTTTGAAAACAAGTGCAGTACCATTCAAAAATGTGGGGTCAGTACTTTTTTTTTATATATTTTTTTAATCAAATTTAAATGTAAGTCACAGCAAAGACATTTGTAATGCTACAAACCATTTCTGTTTTAAATAAATGCTGTTCCTTTGAGCTTTCTTTTAATCGAATCCTAAAAAAATGTTTCATCACGGTTGCCACAAAAATGAAGCAGCACAACTTTTTTCTACATTGATAATATTAAGAAATGTCTCTTAAGCATCAAATCAACCTATTAGAATGATCTCTGGAGCATCATGTGACACTGAAGACTGGAGTAATGATGCTGAAAATTCAGCTTTGCATTACAGGAATAAATTACATATATATAACATATATATGTGACCCTGGAGCACAAAACCAGTCTTAAGTCGCTGCTGTATATTTGTAGCAATAGCCAAAAAAACATTGTATGGGTCAAAATTATTGATTTTTCTTTTATGCCAAAAATCATTAGGATATTAAGTAAAGATCATGTTCCATGAAGATATTTTGTAAATTTCCTACTTTAAATATATTAAAACGTAATTTGTGATTAGTAATATGCATTGCTAAGAACTTCATTTGGACAACTTTAAAGGCGATTTTCTCAATGTTTAGATTTTTTTGCGCCCTCAGATTCTAGATATTCAAATAGTTGTATCTCGGCTAAATATTGTCCGATCCTAACAAACCATACATCAATGGAAAGCTTATTTATTCAAAGACCGTTATGACTGGTTTTGTGGTCCAGGGTCACATATATTTAAATACATTTATAATAGTATAACGTTATAATTTATATTGTTTTAATTTGTAATATTTCACAATAGTATTGATCAAATAAATGCAGCTTTGATCAAATAAATGCAGCTTTGGTGAGCATAAGAGACTTCTTAAAAAAAAATAATAAAATAAATGAAAAGTAAGAATCATTTTATACACGTATAATAATAATAATAATAAACATTATTATAGTTTTTACTATATTTTTAATTAAATATACAGTTTTAAAAATCTTAACCCCGAGTTTTTGAACGGTAATATAAATTAAACTCATCGCAGATGCACCTTGTCGACTAAAATCAGCGCTGTTTGTTTCTGCACACTATTAGCACTAGCGGAAAGCCGGCGGTTAGCGGATGTTTGTCTATTAAAAGTTTGTGTACATTTTCTATAAATTTTCTGGCAGCAGTGATTCATCAAATGACAAAGAAAAGAGCTTTAACCGGGCACATATCCAGAAGTGTGGTGTAGTCGAGCGCACTTTCAGCATTTTAAAGATGCGATTCTGGTGTCTGGATTGCAGTGCTGGAATGATGCTGTTTTCTAGCATACTCGAGTCCATTTTCTGAAGCCGTAAGGCAGCTCTTATAATAAGTGGATGTAGTAGTACATCATGTATAGATTTCTGTTTTCCTTGACGGTTGTACTGTTCTGGAAGTGGTGGTGTGCTTTTTCTCCATCTGGTCCATCGTGGGACTGTCAGGATTCCATACCTACCTGATGAGCTCCAATCAGACCACCAATGAAGACGTGAGTACCTCTCTTTCACTATTCAAATCAAACTCTTAGACTATTATCTCAATATTCATTAACTAATGAATGTGACCTGATGTGATAATTGACAATGTAATACACACAGGACTGTATGTAATACACTATGCACACTACCGTTCAAAAGTTTGGGGTTGAGAAGATTTTTTTTAAATATCTTTGAAGTCTTTTATGCTTAGCAATGCTGCTATGTTTGATTGTTAAATATGATTGCAATTTAAAATAACAGTTTTATATTTTAATACATTTTAAAATATAGGCTAATTAATTAATGTGATGGCAAAGTTGAATTGTGAGCAGCCATTAGTATAGAATTTTTCAGAAATCTTTCTGATATGCTGCTTTTGTGCTCATTTCTTATAGTTATCACAGTTGAAAATGCTTGTTCTGCTTAATTGTTGTTCAGGATTATTTTTTGTAGATTATTATAAATTCACAAGAACTGATTTTATTTGAAACACAATTTAGTCACTTTTGACCAATATAATGAATTTCTGCTGAATAAAAGTATTTTTTTTTTAAATAAAAAATCAACTTACCGACCCCTAAGCTTTTGAATGTACACTCTTAACCCGAATTAGTTGACTTTCTAGAAATTTGCGAAAAGAAACTAGAAAGAAACCCCAACGGGGCACTCTAAACCATTTTAGTTTTTACACAAATTGAAACTAAACCGCTTTAGTTGAATTACCATAGAACCTTACGTTTATGCAGTAGACAAATCAAGTTTACATTAGTAGTTTTTACTCAAAATCATTAGTTCACATCAATTATTATTTGGAGTATATTGTAGGTTGCATAAAATAACTATTGCAAGATACAACTACAAAAATATATATATATATATTAGCAAATAACATTACTAAATGTTTTTAAGTAATGATAAATGTTATATTTATGTAATGTCAATGTAATTAGACATAGATTTTGAGATTTATTGTATTAAACATTGTTTCAAGTAAATTGAAAAAAAAGAAAAACAGATTTCAATGCACAAATGTTTTTTTTTTGTTTTTTTTCACCAAAGAAATGGTAACATGACAATGCATTAAACTTGTCAGCCACAAGACAAGTAAAAAATAAGCTTTGAAACTAACTTACTAACAATTGTAACTATTTTCTAGAAGACACATAAACACACAGTATTCAACAATATATGCTATATCCCTTGTGAATGCCTGGATATGCATTAAAAACTGGGCATGCATTAAAACGGAGGAAAGCCTCTGTAACTTTAAACTTGGCTGAAGAATTGTGTGAACACACATTAACTGAGCACTAACAGCACTAATATGCAGTGACAGAACACACTTTAATGTCTTATACAGCAAAGCACAAGTGGCTTCTCATGGAAGCTTCCCGCATTTCCTTACATTGTAAGCTGTTTTTTCAGAGTTTGCAACCTGGGTTTGGCCCAACATGAGAAGCACCTGTTGGATGAACTGGAATGTGTTCTTCATAGATTTAGGGTAGTTGAGATGCAGTGCGTATGCAAGTCCATACAGAATGCACATAGCTTTGGCACGTCGTCAATATTGTCCATCACAACTTCTCCTTCAATGATGATCTTCAATGAGGTTGGATTGAGATGGAGAGAAGATGAGAGCATGTCACCTTCATGCTCTCTGAGGAGGATTCCAATGTGATCAGTAGGGCTGGGTAAAAAATTGAATGCGATTTTCATGCGAATCTCGTCAGTAAAGCCGCTTCTGGTGATTAGTAGTAAATCTCCAGCACGTGCTTTCAGATGGAGCGGCATTTACTACACAGAGCCGTAGATCACTGACAAGCTACACAAAATCGCGTTCAAAATCGCAGGCGATTCATTGCCGATGACAGCTTGTCAGTGATCTACGGTTCTGTGTAGTAAATGCCGCTCCTTCTTAAAGCATGTGCTGGAGATGATTTCTCATTACATAACCATCAATAATGTTAAGCAATTTGTTACGATTGCTGGAATTCTGTCTTCACAATGATTATTTAAATTTTGCTAACATGGACTTTTAATGTAGGGACAGAAACGTATGATGTTCAATTAAAAACAGTTCACGCAAAAATGAAAATCTGCTGTTAATTTACACATCCTCAGGCCATCCAAGGTGTAGCTGAGTTTTTCTTCAGTAGAACCTTAAAAGATTGTTAGCTGTAACTGTGGTCCTTGGTGATTCATTTAATGCAATCAATGGCTACCATCACTTGGGAGTAAAAAAAACAAACAAAAAAAAAAACAGGCAAAACAAAATTAATACCCGTGTCTCCTGACGATACATTGAGGTCTTATGAAGCAAAACAATCAGTCTGTGCAAGAAACTGAACATTATTTACAGCATTATTACCTTTAATCCACAGCCCCGGCAGTCGTGAGCGTGTTTACAAATGTCTGGAGTGCAAGCATTGTGTTGTATTGGTCATCATCAAAATGGTACTTGCATGTTCTTATCTTGGATCCCACAACCTATATAAAAATTAAAAATTATTTGCTTGTGCAATCAACTTCAGGAAGATTGCTCATGTGTGAGTTTGCTCCTGCGCATACATTATTATATGCGACAGGAAACTCACGCTCCAGACTGTTGTGAATGCACTCAGGACCGTTTGCAGAGGTTGTGGCTGTTTCTCAGACCAATTGTTTTACTTCGTAAGACCTCCCATGTATGGTCAGGATCCACAGGTATTCATTTTGTTTTTGCCTGTGCATGATTTTTTTTAACTATCAAAAATGACAGTTTCCATTGACTGTTTTATATCAATCACCAAGGACCACAGTTTCAGCTAAAAATCTTTAAAGTTTAAATTTTACTTTAAAGGCCCGTACTGTACTGAGCCGTACCGAGCCGAGTCGTACCGCGCAGTGGAAAAGCGCCATTGGAACCCCAACCGAGGTGGTACTAAAAAAAGTACTGTACCCAGTGGAAACCCCCCCAAAAGTGAACCGTACCGTGCCGTACCATGCAGTGGAAAAGCGCCATTAGATCCCACAACCTATATAAAAATTAAAAATCATTTGCTTGTGCAATCAACTAACTTTAAAATTTCATTTTTGGGTGAACTATACTTAAAATTGTATTTTAAAAAATTAACTCTTAAAAACTTGACTCCAAAGGGTTTGTAACAACATGAGGGTGAGCAAATGTTGGATGAACTAACCCTTTAAGCAAACAGATCACCCAAAGAGGTTCAAAGAGCTACTGTAATAAGTTAATGGTTTAGGCTTTATTCTCAGAGGTTTTATAAAACACACAAACTATCTGGTTATATAATAATAATGGTTATATTATAATAACTATAATGGTGAAATGATTATGCTTTTATGTCCTTTTAGATATTCTGAGAGAAAACGTCTCAGGTTACTTATGTAACCATGGTTCCCGTTTTTTCAATGTATGCTTCAGACACGGGTCACAACGAGGCGTTCCCCATAGCGAGCCCTAGAGGACGCAGTTCGAAGTTCCCATGAAAGGGAACAGAGGTAATACTTACAAAGCATACTTTGTAGAAATCTGTAGGTTTGTCGCCAAGGACGACAAGAGCTGAGCTTGAGCTTGATACATTTTCATTACTTAAGCTGCTAAAAACTATGCAATGCAAGTCTATAACAGATATGGACCAACATTGATTTGTTGTGAAAGCTGTCAACAGCTGTCCAACATTGTCTCTCTTAGACTGAAATATCTCAGTTAGACTAAGACTATGTTGGTCAATGATTTCATGCTTGAGATTCTTGCCCACAATCCTGTAGAAATATCTCAGTTAGACTAAGACTATGTTGGTCAATGATTTCATGCTTGAGATTCTTGCCCATAATCCTGTAACGTTAATTAGAACTCCATGAACACCTAAAACAGAAAAAAAAGTGTTACATTTCAAGACTAACTGAAACTTTCAGCATAAACTTTTAGCATACGCATAACCCTTTAAGCTCAACAACTCAGTTGCAGTTACTATAAATAATAATAGACACAATAATATATCAAAGAGACAAGCTAACTTAGCTTTAACAAAAAGCTAATTGATGCACACATGCTGATGTTAAAAGACTGAAGCTAAGGGTAATGAAATGCTAACGTTACAGCTAAAATGAACATGCAGAAAACACACTTGCTGAACTTATCGTAACTGTGAACCAAAATAAACACCGATTTAAATATTAGCATTATAGCTAAACTGTGAAATGCCAGGGGAAAAACCGTCGATCGGTACATTGACTACTTTAGCTTTAACTACAGTAACGCTGTCATCGGACGGTCTTTCGGATAATCAATTTTCCCAGAAAGATAAAGAAATAGAGGTTAACACACTCACCATTACATGCTGCTTTCCAAATCCATCGCGTGCATCATGAGCCGGAATCTTCAAACATCACGCGCTCACTGCTCAAACATAAAAAGACAGTATAAGTCATTATAATCAGTAATTATGTCCCCACTGGATGCAACAAATGCCTCATTTGGGTTTTATTGGTTTTGTCTCGTCCTGCTGGGAGACGGCATTACATGTGTATGTTAAGGGGCGTAACATTTCCGTCACACGCTTGAGGTATTCGGCCAATCACAACGCACTGGATAGCTGGCCAATCAGAGCACACCTCGCTTTTCAGACCGATGAGCTTTGTAAAAATCAACACGTTTCAGAAAGGCGGGGCATAGAGGAGAAACAATAATGTACATTATATGGAAAATAATGTGTTTTTTTAACCTTAAACTGCATAAACACATTTCATTATACCAAATACACAAAATAATGTTCTTTTTAGCAACGTCATATGACCCCTTTAACATAATCACTGCATTCAATATTTTGTCGGAATACTTCAAACAACTAATTATATTTAGTAATGTCAACGTTTTTACAAAAACAAGAAAGAATAATTAATGACGACTAAAAACGTTTATTTAAAACAAAATCCAGGTTTAGAGTGTATGTGAAACGTTTTTTTCAGAAAGATGTTTTTAGAACGATGGAAACTGAATATCAGTTCAGTATATAGAATATTGTTTGCTTTTTATAAATATGCAAGAAATAAACATATGTAATTCCATTTTCAAAAGAACAAAAATATATATTTCACGGCCATTAAGAAATCTTTATGAGCAGTAAATTTCCTCAAATCACCCGACCGCAGGTTAGTTTTGGACCCTGCATTCAAAGTGTATTTAAATTTGTCCCTCGGGGTCTAAGACTGTGAGCCAAGATCAAAAGAGACGCTCGGAAAGTTCCGTAACAGGAAGACAATTAATGAGCACTTCAAAAGACTAGGTTTGAAGATCAATATGTTTGCAGGTGTTTGTCACCGTAACGCCTAGCAGGAAGCAAAGCTAAAACTCTTTTCCACCCTCACCCTGGTTCATCACAGGGTTTATTAAGGCAGCCTGTCGCTGTCTGCTCTGATGTTGGCAGCTTGTCCCTCTCAGCTACTGTAGTTCTCAACGGTCACATCACTGTTTCAGATCAAAGGTTCATGGTCATCCAAACGAGGCAAAGGCAACTACAACCCCTACAGCTACGGAAACTTCATCACCAACTGCTGCGCTGCACTGTGTGGACCTCTGCCACCGAGGTGAATGCAGCACATTTATGGTTTTGTCTTTTGTTCAATGTCTGTTCAAATGGAACGCAGTGCTGCATACTGCACACAGTATGTACTGTATACTGCGTACTACCTTTATTTAAACGTGATAAACTTCTCAATCAGTAATATTCTATATTGTTGTTACCGAATTATGTCGCATGTTTACGTTTCCATGATGCCCAATTACAATCTTGAAAATAACTGGAAATAACACTGCGAAAGTAATTCATCTAAGTTGGGCAACATTTTATATTAAATATATTAACAAGTTAATTTTATTTTAAAATATTGTGATGCCTAAACTAACAGATTTTAGGCTATTTTAATTTTTAACGAGACATTCTATAATTTTAATATCGGACAAATATTAGTTATCGACCATAATATGAAAGCAATTAATTAATTACCTTTACATTAACTGTTCCCTGCTGGTGGAATGACCTGCCCAACTCAATCCGAGCAGCTGGATCCTTAGCCGTCTTCAAGAATCAGCTAAAAACACATCTCTTCCATCTTTATTTGACCCTCTAACTCTAGCACTCTCTATTCTAATTCTATTCTTTAAAAAAAAAACGTGTCCTTTTAGACTTGCACTCTACTCATTTACTAACTGCTTGTTTTCTTAAAAAAAAAAAAACCTAACACTAGCTTCTCTAATCTTTTTGTATTATATCTATTTGTTTTCTTTTTATTTATTATACAATTAACAAAAAGCAAAAAAAAAAAAAAGGCTTCTAACACTAGCTTGCACTATTCTTTTTCTATTCTATCCGTTTTCTTTTTATTTATTATATGATTTAAAAAAAACCTTGCTACGTGTACTGCGTTAAGCTACCTGAGACTTGTTATAGCACTTGCATATCGTTGCTCTTTTGTTGATTTTGATTGCTTCTATTGTCCTCATTTGGATAAAAGCGTCTGTTAAATGACTAAATGTAAATGTAATTATTGGCTTGTTGGAATTTTTAAATAGGTGGATCTCTAAATGTAACATTTTTAATACTTAAAAGAAAAATTTTGATAGATAGATTACTAAATTGTTAGAGAATTTGAATGGTTCTTGTTTTTTTTTTGATTGAATTTCTTGTTCAAAACTCACCGCCATAATGCCAAATTATGTTGTTATTGATGCTTGCCAGGACTTTGCTGATTGGTTTCTAGGATGTTCTGGATGGCTGCTTTCTGGCCCACCGTGTAAAAAGAGGCCACCTTTAAGACTTGGCTCAGATGTACCTCAAGTTCTTGAATGCAAGTCTGTTTTGCCAATTTTGTTGTCAACAAAGTGAAAATCCAAAAGATCCAAAAAGCCATCGCACACATTTTCCTCAACACTCGTGTTGTGCGATTTAAGGGTTAGTTCACTCAAAAAAATGAAAATTCAGTCATCGGCTACTCGCCCTCGTGTTGTTAATAACCTTAAGACTAACAAAGATATTTTCATTTAAACTTGAGATTTGTGTCTTTTCCCAATTTTAAGCATTTAAGCTTTAAAATATTCATCAAGAAATTGTTCAAGTAATCCATATGAATCAAGCAGTTCAGTCTTCTGTCTAACGATTGATTTACATGTTTATATGAATGAAAGCCTAAATTAAATCGGTTTTAAGTTTCCGCTTTCATTCATATATAAACATTGATCAACGCGCATCAAATATGGCAAACGGAGGCTCAAACATGCTTGCTGGACATGTAAGAACCAGTGAGGTTAAATAGCCCAATTTCACATGAATAAATTACTTCTACAATGTCTTTATAACTTTTTGAAGCTGGGGGAGTAAATGACAGCATTTTCTTTTTTGGGTGAACTGTTCCTTTCATGTCTCTAGCAGAAATATGAAATGTGTTAATCACACTTAAGTTCATTACTTAACTGAAGCAAATAATCTCATGTAGTCTGCTCTTGTTGGTATAATGCACATTTTGACAAATGTAGCAGGTTATCTTATATGCATACAGAAAAGTAATCTAAACCTCCAGCAAGAATAGAAAAAAATGTGCCTTCTGTTTGCCCAACAAAGCTTTGTGCTTTACATCATTCATATCTCTGAATCAGAGAATTTAATTGCAGTCCACAGAAAAAGTCCATTTCAAATAAGATATGAATCAGCTTCCTCAGAAAATCATTATCCCGGCCCGTTATCAGCCAAGAGATCCATGCTGATCTTGTAGAAAGATTGGTGACCTCAGCAGGTTTCTCACTCATTCATTTAAATATAAGAGGCACAAACCAATCAGCATTCTCACTACGGTTAATATATATTTAGATAACCGAGGAACGTTCCTGAATCGCTTCAGATGGTGCATGAGGAGGCTTGCTGACGTCAAAACCTGCTCACACACCCACACAAGAGTTCCGCACGCCATTAATGACTTTCTCATGGAGCCAGGAACACAAAGCAGAAGTGGGCACAGCATCACTGGCTGCCATCTGCTCTGTGTGTGGGCATGTTGAGTTGGAGGAGGACTCCGTGCGCACACACACACGGATCCTCTTCTCTCCGCCTCCCTCACCCACGTTCCCTGACTCACAGTCAGAATCTATCATCCACTTCTTTCTCTTTGCAGTTTGATTGACAGAAGAGGTTTTGTCCAACCAGACACTCCGCAGCCTGCGGCCCAGACAAACGGCACCGGCGCCTGCCCCTCTAATCAAGTCCAGAGTCACATGGTAAGACGGCCGTACTCTGTCCTCTCACAGAGAGAGTGAGTGTGTGTGTGTGTGTGTGTGTGTGTCCAGTCTGTTGTACTTGATCCGTTAGCCTAATGAAGCCATTTATGTTCAAATCACTTCAAGGTTTCAGCAAAGACAGTGTAAACCAGGGCTGTCCAAACTCGGTCCTGGAGGGCCGGTGTCCTGCAGAGTTTAGCTCCAACTTGCCTCAACACACCTGACTGGAAGTTTCTATGCCTAGTAAGAGCTGGATTAGCTGGTTCAGGTGTGTTTAATTAGGGTTGGAGCTAAACTCTGCAGGACATTAGGGTTGGAGCTAACCTCTGCAGGACACCGGCCCTCCAGGACCGAGTTTGGACAGCCCTGGTGTAAACAGTGATTTGAAATATATAGTGGAGTCCAGAAGTCTGCGACACACACTGTAAATCCGGAATTCAGAGTTTTGCACATTTCCCAGACTGAATGCTGCTGTCGATAAAGGGGCACGCGATAAAAATACATATTCTTTTTTTAAATAATGAAAAAAATACACTAGCGTTCAAATGTTTGGGGGTCGGTAAGATTTTTGAATGTTTTTTAAATTAGTCTCATACTCCCCAAAGCTAGATTTATTTGATCAAAGATACAGTAAAACTGTAATATTGTGAAATATATAATATTTGTATTTTAATATATTTTAAAATGTAATTTAAAGCTGAATTTTAAGCAGCCATTACTCCATAAATCTATTCCAGTGTCACATGATCTTTCAGAAATTATTCTAATATGCTGATTAAGAGACCATTCTTATTATTAATTTGTTGTGCTGCTTAATTTTTTTCTTTGTGGAAACCCAGGTTTCTTTGATGCATAGAAAGATCATATGATCAGCATTTATTTGCATTATATTATTATTATTTTGTATTTACTGCCACTTTTGATCAATTTAATGCATCCTTGCTGAATCGAAGTATGAATTGTTTAAAAAACAATTACTGACCCCCAAATTTTGAGTGGTATTAATAATAATAAAAACTTTTCTGATATTTTTTTTCTAATTGTCGTTAACACTTTTTTTTAGTTTCTAACATTTTCACTCAAGTTGTCATGATCTGTTGAATGTATTCAGCATGACACACTGATCGATGTGAAACACCTGTGTTGTTGGCGCAGACGTGATCAGTGATGTGATTCTCTCAGCAGTGTTTATGTGATTGGGAGACGGCGTGGGCTGTGTGAACAGATCAGCTCTCATGAATACTGATGCTCACTGTCTGGATTCAGTTTCATCAGCTTAAGCGAAACACATCAGCCGCTGATTTGATGCCAATTATTCAGTCCCTTGAGGGATCCAGATGTTTCTAAGTGATGATTGTGTTATGTAAGCTTTCAAATAGGTTTGAAAATCTTTGTGGCATTTCTTAACATAATATTTCGATGGAACGATTCACCAATCCATTAGGTTTGTTACAGCCGGCTCTTAGGCTGCAACAAAGAGGAGTCCAGACGCAACAATACTTAACAAAACATTTATTTTAACACAACAAAATATAACATAAATGTAGCATAAACGAAGGAACGAGCCAGGGTCGGCTGGGACACACAGCACAACACGGACCGTCGAGCTCCACGCAGGAGACGATCTCCCAAACCAACTGCACCGCACCAACACACCAGGCACTCTTAAACTCTGCGTCAAACAAGTGTCAGGTGTGCAAGCCACACCCCCTCCAAGCGGCACCTAAAACACACACCCCACAAGTGCACGCACAGCCTAAACTGGGATGTCACAGGTTAGATGGATGAATCTTACACAAAAGTATCCAGGTCACATTTCACCTTAAACAAATGAACAAATACATGCATACATGAAGAATGAAAATAAAGCCTATTGTATGGACCATTCTTTTTTTTTCCATTGTGTTTTTTCATGATAATTAAGCACATTTCATATATTTATATTCATTTTAAAATCTATATTGATATTGATATTGCATTAAATTGGTCAAAAGTGGCAGTGAAGACTTTTATGCTGTTCTTTTGAAATTTCTTTTCATCCAAAAACACCCCCCAAAAAAAACATTAATAAGAAATGTTAAATGAGTCAATGATTTCTGAAGATTCATGTGACACTTAAAGGGATAGTTCACCCAAAAATGAAAATTCTGTCATTAATTACTCACCCTCATGTCGTTCCAAACCCGTAAGACCTTCGTTCATCTTCGGAACACAAATTAAGATATTTCTGATGGAATCTGAGAGCTCTCAGACCCTGCATAGACAGCAACGCAACTGAAATGTTCCCAAGTTCAGAAACGTAGCAAGGAGATCGGTAAAATAACCTTGTGACATCAGTGGTTCATCCGCAATTATACGAAGCTACGAGAATACTTTTTGTGCGCGAAAGAAAAAAAAAGAATGACTTTATTCAACAATTCGTCGTCTCCGATGCACCCTGGTGCCATTTTGGAGAATATCCGCTGGACGTAAACAGCGTATGCTGTTCTGTTTCCTACGTTGTTGTGATTTGATCTGAATGAAAACAGCGTATCCACGTGGCGCAGCTGACACAGAACAGCATACGCTGTTTACGTCCAGCGGATATTCTCCAAAATGGCACCAGGGTGATGCAGAGGAGACGAATTGTTGAATAAAGTCTTTTTTTTTTCTTTTGCGCACAAAAAGTATTTTCGTAGCTTCGTATAATTGCGGTTGAACCACTGATGTCACATGGTTATTTTACCGATCTCCTTGCTACATTTCTGGACCTGGGAACATTTCAGTTGCGTTGTTGTCTATGCAGGGTCTGAGAGCTCTCAGATTCCATCAGAAATATCTTAATTTGTGTTAGAAAGTCTTACGGGTTTGAAACGACATGAGGGTGAGTAATTAATGACAGAATTTTCATTTTTGGGTGAACTAACCCTTGAAGACTGGAGAAATGGCTGCTGAAAATTCAGCTTTTCCATCTCAGGAATAAATTACATTTTAATATATATTACAATAAGTTAAAAGTTATTTCAATAATATTTAGTAATATTTCACAGTATATATAATACATCTATATTGCCTTAACAGCTTAACAATTTAAATTACATATTGTTTTACAATATGAGAATGGGGGTGCTTGATTTTCATGAAAATAATATTCATCTTAATAGTCCAAAAATGGCTTTTTCCATTAAGAAAAGTGAAATATGTCCTCAACATGTTCTTTACAGGTTTGGTGACATTTACCCAGATCTTCTTTTTCTGTCTTTCTTTATACTTTTGATCAACACACTCTAACCTTTATAATCTTAACCTTCTAATAATTGTTTTCCATACGGTACTCTACACACATATAACAGCCTCTGCTGGACGTTTCTGATATTCCGAACAATTTCTGGAGTACCAAGTGAGGGCCAAAGCTAGTCTTCCAGCTCTATTATTACCCAAGCTATATTTTCTTTCTTTTATGGAAGCTTACTTCCACTACGGAATAAAAATACTTTTCTCTCACAAGTCTGACTTTTTTCTTGCAACTGCGACTCACAATTTGGACTTTTTTTTCTCAGAATTGCGAGTTTATATTTTGCAATTGCGAGAATAGCTCTCACAATTCTGACTTTTTTCCCCCTCAGAATTCTGCACATGCATGTGGTCAGGTCAGGTGTCTAAAAATTAGAGAAAAAAACTGTAAAGATGTAAACACAGAATTCTGAGAAAAAAAGTCAAAATTGTTAGAAACAAGCTCGCATCTGCAAGATTGTAATTCACAATTCTAAGAAAAAAAAGCCTGAATTGTGAGATGCAAACTCAGAATTCCGAGAAAAAATGTGAGATATATACTGACAATTCTAAAAAATAAAAGAGTCAGAATTGTGAGATGTAAACTCACAATTGCAAGTTTATAACTCAATTCTATGGGGAAAAAAAGTCAGAACTTTAGGATAAAAATGTGCAATTCTGAGAAAAAGTTCAGAATTGTAAAATACTAAATTAGAATTCTGAGAAAAATGGTCAGATTTGTGAGATACAAACTCGCAACTGCAAATGTGTAATTCACAATTCTAAGAAAAAAGTCAGAATTGTGAGGAACAAAGTTAGAATTGTTAGATTTAAACTTGTAATTCTAGAAAAAAATCAAAATTGTGAGATGTAAACTCACAATTGCGAGTTTATAACGAACAATTCTAAGAAAAAAGTCAGAATTATGAGATATAAACTCTCAATTGTAGAAAAAAATCTGAATTGTGAAATGTACACTCACAATTGCAAATTTATTACGAACAATTCTAAGAAAAAAGTCAGAATTATGAGATATAAACTCTCAATTGTAGAAAAAAATCTGAATTGTGAAATGTACACTCACAATTGCAAATTTATTACGAACAATTCTAAGAAAAAAGTCAGAATTATGAGATATAAACTCTCAATTGTAGAAAAAAATCTGAATTGTGAAATGTACACTCACAATTGCAAATTTATTACGAACAATTCTAAGAAAAAAGTCAGAATTATGAGATATAAACTCTCAATTGTAGAAAAAAATCTGAATTGTGAAATGTACACTCACAATTGCAAATTTATTACGAACAATTCTAAGAAAAAAGTCAGAATTATGAGATATAAACTCTCAATTGTAGAAAAAAATCTGAATTGTGAAATGTACACTCACAATTGCAAATTTATTACGAAATTCTGAGAATAAAGTCAGAATTATGAGATGTACACTCACAATTGCAAGTTTATAACGAAAATTCTAAGAAAAACGTACAGTACGTTTCAGATAGAAATTCGTAATTCTGAATTCTAAATTAGAATTATGAGATGTGAACTCTATTCTAAAATTGTAAGATAAAAAGTCACAATTACCTTGTATTTATTTTTATTCTGTGGCAGAAATAAGCTTCCATAGCCTCTCCAAAAGCAGCTCTAGAGCATAACAGTGGCCACCCACTTTTACGTTCAAGTATTTTTTCCATTCATTTCTCCATAAAGATTTCATAAAGTTCTCCAGTAAAGAAATCAAAGCCTTAAACTAAACCAACCAGCTCTGATATGAATCATTATAAACTCAGATTTGAAGAAAAAATAATTTAAATCTGCCGAGTTACAAGACATGAACTGCTCATCCCATGAAGCATTGTGAATGATGCAATCAAATAAGAAACTACAGTTCAATATAAAACAATATATTTTAACTATATTACTAAATATCGTGACTCTGTCATT